ACTGAGTAGCTATTTTGGCAGAAAGAGTAAGCGTATAATTGTTATAGGAAGTACATATTGTGGACGTGGATGTTGGGGACAATAACGTAGATAATGCCTACCAAAGTGTAGGTATGTAATCTTACATTTATGGTAATATGATGTTTTATGGGTATCACAATATCTTCTTGTTCTTGTCATACCTTATTGTAGGGTAAGGTTTATACAAGGTGCCGGTGCACCTCTAAATTTGGAAATGTAGTTCCAGTGTCAAAAAACGGATTGAAATTTATTTTCTTTCTTAGTGATGAAATTCAAGTTCTTAAAAATGATTTGGAATCTAAAATATAGGAATACGAGATAAACACTCATAAATTTGGTAAATGGATTTCCAATTTTGCCATATCCTTAATCCATGTGCAACTTCAAAAGTTTGAAATTGCGAAAAAGGTCTAGGACTGACTTGCCTCTTAGCATGCTCAAACCCCACTTTGGTCGAAACATAAACCCGAGATAGATATTTGAACAATGAGGCAAAAGAAAGAACAATTAATGTTTGATTTTCATTCTTAGATGACATTTAATTTGGTATTAATTGGCCCTAATAGAACCTCAAGTGGACCACTTATACAAAAATCTATTATGACCATAGAGAGGAGTCGTGCTTGGTTCAATTTTTTATGGCATGTCAATATAATTTTGAGTGAGTCCGGGCATCTATTCATTATTGCACTTATCTTCCATTTTTTGATGTTGCCCTTTCTGAGTTGATGGCCGAAGAGACCCATACATCCTTAAATATTTTCCATTAGAAAGAGAATTAGATGGAGAATATGTTCTAATTAAAATGTACTGTCCTAAGACTGTTACACAAACCTCTTCTACCTCAGTGATCACTAAATAGAATGGTTTAGATATGTCCAAAGTTCGATGCTGAAAACAACTTGGACATATGAAATTTAATTCTTTTACTAAATAGAAAAAGAAGATGGTTGCCCAAAAACCCATTGCACCAAACCTCACTGCAGCACTAGCTCCATCTTATACCACCTCATCTCCAAGCCACCTCATACACAAGGTAGATATGTTTCTAACCCCACATAACAAAATATCTGCTTTGCAGGAATATAATGAGTCTTAACTTTGGGAGAGGAGCTAAGGCCTAGAGTGAACAAGATGAAAAATGAAATGGAAGATGAAAATATAAGCTCACAACTGAAAATGGAAAAGGTTTGGAAAAGAGTGCGTATATTGTTAATGCTTTTAAGGTAGTAATAAGGGCCCTCCAATAATGTCGTAATATAGAAAAAAAGAAAAAGAAAAAAAAAAGCGGCAAGGGGGGTGGCACTCGTAATATTGGACAACATCACCGAATGGTAATAAGGGCCTTCCAATAGTGTTTATACGTAATTTACTCTAAAAAAAATGAATGGTAGAGACTACTTGCTTATGACTTTTAAGTCACACCTGAATATGCAATATTTGAGTTATCCTACCGCAAGTAGATAAGCACTTGGCCACATTGAGAGAGTAGATAAGCACTTAGCCACATTGAGAAAGGATGTCGGTCTCTCTCTCTCATATGTCTGAAACTAAAAAACTAATATATATATATATAAATTTCTCAACTTTTCAAAGCTGGGGTTAGCCCACTAACTTATATGAATATATGAGCCCAACGATCCATTTTGAATTTAGGCCGATCTGATGATCATAGATGTCTAGTAGTGCTTGAATTTTACTTTTTTCTCTACAAATTTAAATCACTTGAAATTATAAATGTGTGTTTTTATCATCAAGGTGCATCTAATAAAAATATTAAAAAATTATTCGCAAAAAGAAATAACCAAAATACAATTTAAAATTTTTCGGGGGTATTTTGATCAATTTATTTCATGTAAAATATTTTTTTGATATTTTTTGAAGATTCATTTTTTTTTTTATAAACACACGTCTAAAATTTCGAGTAATTTGGATTTGTAAAAAAAATAAAAATAAAATCAAACACTACCGGATATCTGTGATCGTCAGATCAGCCTGGATTCAATCTGGACTGTTGGGCTCATATGTTCATATAAGCTAGTGGCTAACCCCCAACTTTTTTCACATATATATATATATATATATATATATATATATATATATGTAT